TTAGCTTTGTGTACATGGTGTTGTGTAGCTTTGTGTACATGTTGGTGTGTGTCATGAGCAAATTTTACTGTGCAGGAAATGTGTACATGCCAGTGTGTGGTGGGTCTGTGTCTAGTTTATGTATTTAATGTGTACATGCCAGTGTGTGGGGGGTCTGTGTCTAGTATACTGTGTAGTTAATGTGTACATGCCAGTGTGTGGGGGATCTGTGTCTAGTTTACTGTGTTGGTAATCTCTTTATGTTTTCACTGATTAGGAAATGTGTACAAGTTCCGTGCTGGCACACAGTGGAATGCCCTACAGTGGTGTCAGTTCCTCAGTGAGGCAGCCAAGAGAGGCCATCAGAAGGTGGGTGTTGTGTTCTGTAAGATGTGAGGATGTTTGTTCTGTTAGATGTGAGAATGTTTGTTCTGCAAGATGTGAGGATGTTTGTTCTTTTAGATGTGAGGATGTTGTGTGTGTTTTGTTATTTATGGATGTGTGAATAAAAATTGTTCCAATCTTTCTCTTGCATTGATGAGTGACAACATTGTCACTGATGAACTTAATCCTGCTGAGTTCAACTATTGTGTGAGACCACCGAGCATGTGTTCCAATTGTTCTGTTTATCTCTCCCCCCAGCCTGTGAACCTGATGTCATTTGACTGAGCCATCGTGATGAAAGAACTGATTTGTCAAGTATCATCAGACACCGAGACCATCAGCCCCAGTGCAACCTGGCCAGTTCAGCAGGTCTGAACCATCTGGCCAGACTTTTGGCTCTTGGAAAATGCACGGGAGGGAACTGCTGTACTTACTTTTTTTGTCAAGAGCGTGCGACTCTAGTCAAAGAATCAACTGGACGGTGACTGGTCTCAAGAGATGGATTCATTTTATTCTACACAGACCCTATGGGTTTTGATATTTTAACATGACAAGGGATTTCTTCATGGACCCAATCTGAGATGTGTTGTGAGAAGTTTTTGGTGAAATGAGCCAAAGGAGCAGACCACCTTGTGACTTTAACCTAGCCAACTTATCCTGATGAGACTCAATAGCTGGAGACCAGGGATAAAGCAGCTCGGCTCACAACACTGGCATCTCAAGTGCTTTTAAACTTATTGCTTTTTACTTTGCTTTGTGGCCTTGAAGAGGTTGTTTTGGGTTTTTTTTTTACGGTTGACCTTCACATAGGCCCCTAACCCTATCCCACAAACTCATACACAAAGGTTTTCTTAGAGGTGAAAAGTCAAGTGTATGGATCAGCTGTTTACATCAGACAGTACCACTATGACCTTGCCAAGCCATCATGGCAGTACGACCTTGTCAGGCCATCATGACAGTACGACCTTGTCAGGCCATCATGACAGTACGACCTTGTCAGGCCATCATGGCAGTACGATCTGGTAAACCCATCATATCACCTGGTGGTCAACCCATCATGGCAGTACCCCTGTATCACATTATGGTAACCCATCATGACAATACCCCTGTATCACATTATGGTCACCCATCATGGCAATACCCCTGTATCACCTGGTGGTCAACCCATCATGGTGATACCCCCACACACAGCTTGTCCAAACCTTTTAATCTCTATCATATTAAATAGTTCCATGAAAACATGCTGGCAGTGTTGACATGACACTGGACATGCTGGCAATGTTGACATGACACTGGACATGCTGGCAATGTTGACATGACATCCAGAACACCTGCCTTTACCTTGCAATACTCAGTGGTCTATCAACCTGTGCTATTGCTGCCATGTTACATACATCAGTATTGCAAACTTGATCTCACCATTAGATTCTCTAACTCAGTGGTATGCAACCTGTGGCTCCTGTGTAATCCATAATGTCCTTTAAACAGTTTGCCTCTTCCTGGGGCTCTCAAAATATTTTCCTACTCAAAATTAGTTCCCCCCCCCCATCTACCTTATGAGGTCATGTGACGTTTCATATGCCTGTACTTACATGTCACTGTCCTGGCCTTGATGAAATACTCATTCTGTACTCTTCTATTCCAGATTTTTGTTTTTTAACTGCTTTCATTTTGTGTTCAAATGGTTCAGCTTTTGGAGATGGCTTTTAAGAACTGACTGTCAGTAATATGATTTCCTTTTGCTGTCTATAGTGTACAGTTTCATCTTGTCAGTCCACAGGATCTTCAAATTTTGTGGCATTTGTTTTTTTACATATTTAAGTGAAGTCTTCTTGTGATTGGTCTTCCGGATTATTTTCCTATCCTATTGTTTGATGAACATATTGTAGAGCTTGTTGTCAATTTATTTATTTTTTGGGTCTTATTTCTGTCATGTCCAAGCTGCCAGAGCACCCAGGGGGGACAACTCTTCTGGTTTGGATGTGACAGTCTGACCAATGTCGACAAGGGCCCCAGTCCTAGTCCCACCAATGAAGTTGATAGATCATCCCTGTTGCACCCTCTGCTTGATTTTTGCTTTACTTTCTGATAATCAGAACCAATTGTTCCAACTATTTAATAAATAACTGAATTATGGCTCTGAAAGGCCACGGAGTAGGGGTCTGAAAGGCCATGGTCTTTGATTCTCCCTATGAGCTTAAAGGTGAATAGATATTTGAATCAATTTTCAGACCTATGTTACCATTGGTGAATATTTGATGAATATTTTATAATGTTATATAAGCACCAACAATGGCTCCAATGAATTTTTGTTTTCATCTCATTACCCATTTTAAAAAAACTTTCACCAACCATGTTTATCTTTATGACAAATTTATTCTTTCAAAACCTGATCAGTGACACGAACATTAGGCAGTGACGCAAACAGTAGGCAGTGGCACAAACAGTAGGCAGTGACACAAACAGTAGGCAGTGACACAAACAGTAGGCAGTGACACAAACAGTAGGCAGTGGCACAAACAGTAACATTAGCAGGGACAGTGTGACAGTCCAGTGACTGTACCAATTAACAGCCCAAGTGACAACAGTCCAGTGATAGTACCAATTGACAGTCCAGTGACAGTACCAATTAACACTCCAGGTGACGATGGTCCAGTGACAGTACCAATGTCCATGGGACGTCACAGCGGTTGTGATGTTATTGTGTTGTGAAGCGTTCCTATTGTGAGATGTGTTATACACTGGCCTGGTATGAGGAAAGCCTACATATCTGAAAAAACAATGAGTAGATCTCAAACCTTTGCAAATAGGTTGTGTTCATTTCAGGCCTCTCTACCGTTGTGCGTAGGTTGTTCTTGAGTCCAGCATTCAATCGAGACTTTACTTCCATGACTGTTTGAAGCTGATTTCATTATTGTACAGTTGTCTTGAATAATTCAACGTGGCCACTGCTTAGTCACCGACCCAGAACTTCACCAATCTTTAAGACTGCCACAGTTGGCATCCATGTCTGAAATAACGTTTCAAAGTAATATTTTTGAAAATCTCCTCCACATACAAGACTTTGAAAAGAATATGTAGTACACTGTAGAATATGTCATAATGAAACTCATAGAATAGTACATTATATATTTCTTGTGTAAGACATACCAAACTTGAGTTTGAAGTTATGTGTGTTTGTAAATACTTTAAACTGCAAAGCGGTCATTGTTGTTTATTCCACTATATGACATCAGTTATGTCATGTACATGGCAGAACATCAGTCGTGATGTCATGTACATGGCAGAACATAAGTCATGATGTCGTGTACACAGCAGAACTTGTGCTCTTTATATCTTTTCACTTCATCTTAAGGGAGTAAAACAAATCTCTGCACAGAGACTCTATACCATGGGCACTGGCTGAGTCTGACTTCACTGCGTCACATGTTTTTTTTACATCTCTGAACTTTTAACGCCCAAAGTCTTGGAGACAGACAATTTGTTTTTAATTTTTAAAATTTTTACTCTAAAATTTTCTGGGTTTTGCAAGAAGTGGTCCCATAACAACTGTCCTGCAACATGTCATGTCAACAACTTTTGCCAACACCAGATAATGAATGGCTTTTAAAGTTGACACTGTAAACTTAGAAAGTTTAGTTTTTGATGGTTTATTTTTTTTTTAAATATTACCCTTTAGAGGCGGGAAAAAATGTTTGTCTCCATCGCATTTTAGTTAGTCAATCATTTTAGTCAGCAAATTATTTTAAGCGGTCAATCAGCAATTGTCTATTTGATGTTAATGGGGAGTCAAATATATCAGTTGTATTGTTGTATATGTTGAAATGTAGACAAGTTTAAATATGTACATATAATTCTTAGTCTCTTTAGTAGGACAAAGTTGACCAGTAGCAGATGGCACTTAGCCACATAGAGTTGTACATGATATAGTTGATTGTACATAATAACCATTGAGATATCTGATAGTCTCTATGGTCAAAGCCCCTATTATGACCAAAGTTACCTTTCAATAGATGGCAAAAAAAAACAGGCTCAAATAATGAACAAAACTATGTGCTCTTAAGCATAGTTCAACTCTTGTCTACTGGTCAACACAGGAAGCTTCAGTTATGGCTGGGCTATTGAATTTGATGATCAGTAGACATGGCTGAACTGTGGATGTGGCTGAGCTATGAACATGGCTGGGCTATTGAACATTGATCATCAGTGACATTGCTGAACTGTGGATATGGCTGAGCTATGAACATAGCTGAGCTATGGATAAGATAAGATTATTTTATTCATCCAAACAAATGGATATGGCTGAGCTTTGAACATATCTGAGCTGTGATTGATTTGAAAAACAAGGCAATCTCTGAAATACCGGTAGCAGAAAAGTTATGACTAGATCTAACTAAAATTGGAGTACCTGTACCGTATGTGCGCAATGAGATGTTGGTTATGTACATATGATACTAAATTGATGTGCAATATGATGTGTCCGAACCCGTAAGAGTACAAGTACAGTGACATGTACTACATTAAAGAATAAGATTCTTCAGTTGAAAAAATTGTCATTGAATGTTGAGTATGTCCAGGAACTCAAGTTCTTTTGATACTCGTCAGGGGGGGGGGGGGGGGGGGGNGGGGGGGAGGGTCATTGATATGGAGGGGGCCCAAAGCTTTGATGTGGGGAAAAAAGTATTTTTAAAATACCGGTACATTGAAGTGGCAGGGCGCCTCTAAAAGTCACCGCTGAATCTTTTTATACTAGAAAATATGTGGGGGAAATGTCAAAATTTTCACCTTTTTAGATGACTTATTGGGCCATGTTTTTTTATTTCAATACAGGTACATGCTTTGATTTTAAATTAAATTGATTGAAATGTGGACATTTTTTTTAACTTGTGGATTTTATAATAAACAATGACAGATTAATTGCAGTTTTAATTGATTTTAAAAGAAGTTTTAACTCTTAGCCATCATGATATTTTGCTTGTAGCCATTATGATATTCAACTTGACCAAACTGGCGCCTTATCAAATATTTCCTTTTGTAATAAATGAGTTCACTTTGGCACCTATATATTTGTGAACCTGCACCGAGCTGTCACATTGACTGAACCTGCACCGAGCTGTCACATTGACTGAACCTGCACCGAGCTCTCACATTGACTGAACCTGCACCAGCTGTCACATTGACTGAACCAGTACCAGCTGTCACATTGACTGAACCAGTACCAGCTGTCACATTGACTGAACCAGTACCAGCTGTCACATTGACGACTGAACCAGTACCAGCTGTCACATTGATCATCAATGTTCCACACACAAAAAATCATTTTCAGGTTATTTCCATTTAGGTGTGGCTAAGTGTTGACTTCTTACAGTAGTGAGACCTTGAGAGAACCATGGATGGAAACATTGCTCAGAATTGAACTGACATATAACATTAGATATTTTAGTCACTTAATCATGGATCAAATGGGAAATTATTTTCTGATGAACTTTATATGTGTTTGGAGCCCATGAAATCAGCCTGTAATTATCTAATTCTTGTATTGAATGTAATGTAACGATAATAGTGTTCCCAGAGTGCTATTGATGAAAGCACTGCATGAATAATCTTGTGCTATAATCAACTGGTTCATCTAGTCACAGAGAAGTCATTCTTGTCTATATATCTGTGCCCCGACTGCCCCCCCCCCCAAATGGTGTGGACACATTCTTAGAACTTCAAGTCTTCCAAACTCTTGCATGTAAATGAACAGATTGATATAGTTATGGTTTTTCACTGTAGCCCAATGTCTTAACAGCTGTCAATGTGACAAGAATGCCATCATGGTTCTGGCTGTGTCACAGTTTGCCCACTATATTTGCTGCTGTCATCTCTATGTCCATTAAAGTCCTTGTTCAGTACTTGTGTAGATCAGAGCTTGCTATTCACTGCTGAGTATTGCTCTCTGCTCTATCATCTGATGTCACCATTTTCTACTGCTGAATTATGTGCCTCCACACCCCACCCCACCCTGAAACTACACCCACAAACTATTGAGTTCCCCCACATGGTAAGGTCACTTTCAAACCCTTCCCCCCCCCCCCCCCCCTTCTCCACATATGCCTGTTTTTTTTTTTTTCTTTTTACTCCACACCCACACCATTCCCTCCACACCCACACCATTCCCTCCACACCCACACCATTCCCTCCACACCCACACCATTCCCTCCACACCCACACCATTCCCTCCACACCCACACCATTCCCTCCACACCCACACCATTCCCTCCACATCCACACCATTCCCTCCACATCCACACCATTCCCCCATCCCCCAAAAATTATTAGTGTGTGTGAAGAATGTGTCTACACCAAAGGGAAATTACTAGACTTCCAACAAGTCGGTCATAGAGAGGTGCAGTCCCTCCCTTGTACTATCATCTACTCAATTATATCGAGTAAATAACATTTTTTTTTATTGACAGAACCTTAGACTTATAATATGTTCTTATGACTAACAAGCTGAATTAATTTCTATACATGACTAAAGTTGACTGATTCGGAAATAGGCTTAATATCTGGAGGACTGAATTTGACTAATATAGAAATACCGCAGACCGTATCTAAAAGTTTGAAAGGCATGGTTTAACTTAGTTTAAGGCTATTTAATTTGGTTGCTGGTGAAAAATTAAATTTCATGTTGTAATGTTGATCAATAGAAATGTTCCATCTTCGTGTTATAGACTTAAGGAGATAGGGTTTGAGGTTATGCGAGTTCCTCCCTCTGTCTTGTGGCACAAAATGCTGTAGTTGGTCTTATAATAAAAGACAGCCGGCTCTATTGTGCTTTGGTTGTGATGATCAGTCAAGTTATAGTATAGTCATGTGATTGTTTGTTTCTTGTTGACTTATTTAATCACTCAGTTCAGCTGCACATTGAAGGTTTTCACCATGTTTTACCTTGTTCTCATTAAGTTGGTATTTCACCAATTGATTTTATTCTTGATTTTTGTTTTAAATTAATGACACTCCTTGACCTTGCAATATGCAGTAAAAAATTATATTAAAATGAATGTAACAACATATGTTGTGCTAAGTGTTTTTCTTCAATCCTTGCACGTTTGTATTTTAACTGTTTGTTCAATTATTTCATGTTACTTTTAGTTTTAGTTTATTCATTCAGTGAGTGCCAGGTTGATTAAGGCGCCCGCGGAAAACTTTCTAGGGGGGGGGCCCTTGCCCCTACCTGCGGGTGAGAAATGGGCGACAAAGTCATATTTTGATTATTTGGTTTCATTAATTATTAATCATTTCTTGATTAAATTTAAAAAAATAATTTTTACAAAATTAAGTTAGAAAATAAAATAATCGCTGGTCATTTCTAGCAAAATTTGTTTTTTTTCCTGACCGACTTCATGTATCATTTGATCTAGCCCTGACCTTTGCATTTTAATAAACATTTCTATTGGTTCCTGTGTCGGAACTCTGTAATAACTACTTCCGGTGTAAACAACCCGTCGCCAACTTTCGTTAGGCCTAGCAATTTGTCCCAACTTAAAAAAAAACATTGGAGGATGTAACATAAAAAAAACTAAATCAGTAAATACCCAAATAAAATGGGTTGACGGATTACACTACAGTAGACTCGCTACACTTGCACTAAAGTCTAAAATTAAGACTAAAAATTTCGACCCCCGTTACGCTTCTTCACTTTAAGAATATAGAAAAATACCATGCTAATTATACTTACAACTCATACTGTTTTTTCATTATACTTAAAATAAGATCCGAAACTCCAATGTGAAAGAAAAAGCCTTTGTCCGGCCACTTTTAGATTACACTACACATGTTCAGTCTGGCACTGGGACCCATTCATCCAGCCCCAGAAGAGCATAGACAGGTTGGAGGCAGTCCAGCGAAGGGCAGCACACTTTGTCCTGAAACTCTACAAAAACACCTCTAGTGTTGGCCGAATGCTGGAAACATTGGGCTGGTTGCCATTGGAGGAGTGACGATGATTATCCAGGCTCTCCATGATGTACAAGATAAATTAAATTTAAATAATGGGCTGGTCCACTGCTCCAGCATTAAACAGAAACTTTTTAAATTATTGAACTTTCTGGAAAATTCTAAACGGACCCTGAATGGATTGAATATTATTAGTTTTAATCCACCGATGTGTCATTATTTTTGGTCATTTTTTTAATATCCTATGCCTGAGATAAGGGGGCCTATAAAAATCAGTCAGATAAATAATAAAGTTAAAATTTAAAATAAAATGAGTAAAACAGAGTAGGGTTAAACCTGAAAAAATACACGCAACAAAACAGTGAACGTGTCGGCAGAAAGCCTTCGTCAGCGAACAAAACAACAGAAAAAACGGTATAAAAATAAGAAATTGCACTTAGCTGGAAAATAGTATCTGTGGGCAGCAATAGAAGTGTCTTATATAAGGAAAAATGAAATTGGGGCCCCAAATGAGTGGACAGCCCCAGCTTAGTTTCACTCCTGAAATCTTTGACAGTAAAATTGGACTATAATATTTATAAATAAATTAACCCTTGTTTTATTACTTGTATATGGCAAGCCATCCAGTAAAAAGTAATGCATGGCCAAACAATTGACTTTGCATGCTAAGACTAAGACAATCAGTAAATATTCTTTGTTTTCTTCATTGCACACAAAATATTGGTCTGATGTCTTTATTCAACTGCAAAAAATATTGTAATTGGTAGCACAATACAAATAATTAAGAAAATTCTATCGCGTTCAAAACTAATAAAGATGTCTGCCAAAACATTGTGCTTTGTAAAAGACTTATCTTCTTTCAAATTTAAATTCGTAAATAAATGTATTATTTTTGGGTGGTCTCTTCAGGTATACAGCTTCCTCCCAAAGGCAGATGAAATTTTTGTTAAGATGTGAACACAGAATATGAATCCTGAAGTGGAGTCTTGTCTAAATGTGTCAAGTTAACCATCATGGTAAGTGGTATGGACATTTTTTTGTTTTTACTAACCTTTGAACCATACCAGGTTTTGACTGGTTGAGTGTGCCATTAATTGGTATATTGTGGGGTGCTTACTTTTATCCAATAAAAGGATTATCATCTTTTAAACTTCATATTAACTTCGCTTTTGTTTATGGCTGACTGACTGGCTGGCTGTGTAGCTAATTGGCACACTTCCCATCAGGCTATCGAGCTGGAACTTGGCACATAGACTCGTTACGATAACAACACTTTCTTTCAAATTTTCAGCCCCACCCTCTAATCCCAACCCTTAAAAATCATGCTTTCCAGATTTTCAAAGGGAAAAAAAATAAAATTCCCGATAACTGCACTAAATAATATTCTTTCTAAAAAAAATACTGCAAGTGCATTTGGTACATAATTGTTTCTTTTGTTTTTCAAATATTTTTGGTGAAATAAATCTTCAGTGTAAAAGTGAGTGGGTCATTAGAATATTGATCTAAAAAAATGTGCGGTTGCAAACTTTGAGGGGGGGTGGGGGATCACTAAATGGTATTCTTATGAAGTGCGTAACTTGTATTCCTGTTTGTCAAATTTTCAACCCCCCCTTTTGCTTGATATTCCATTTTAGAAATGTTTGATGAAAAAATATGTTTTTAGGGGTTGTTCAATGATAGTTTAATTTTAATGATCAAGTTAAAAAGTTTCAGAATATTATTCGTAGAATTCTTGGGATTTCAAAATTTATTTAAAATTATTTGTTAATTATTTATTTTCATTAATTAAACCATAAAAAATTTTGTATAAATTAAAATTAATTTCGGTATCTATTTGGCCAAATCATTAACTCAACTTTATGGGCATAAATTGTCTATCACAAATTATAGGGACACAATTAAAACATCATTTCTGATTATTATTTGGTAGGTAGAACACCACGCTAACTGCCTATTAGAGTGACCAAACATTTTAACAACTTTTCATATAGACCTATAGAAATTATTTTCTATAAAATTATTTTAAAAAATGTCTTTTTTTTCTTTCTTCCAACAGTTATTCTGGAAGGAAATGGAATGCTACATATTAGCAGATATCTGTGTCTGAAGTGAGGACTTGGCTTGGTCAGCAGATATCTTTATATGTATTGGGTTCTTGGCTTGGTAAGGGACAAGAATGGGTAATGTTAGGTCAGTTTTGATCATACCAAGTTTTTAAACTTGTTTTGATTTTAATTTAAACAATATATTTAAATAGAATCAATATATATATATATATTATTTCTCTTTTTATAAACTTTTAGTTATACCTTCAAATGTATTTTAAAAAAAATTGTTTTCCATTTCTAGCTTCAATTAAAGTTGACACAATTAACAACCACGGGCAGCATACTATAAGGGATGACCCACCACCAATCATTGCTATAAATCCAATGGATGACACATCAATAATCAATGGATAACTTACTCCTCACCATCTGATGTTAGCTTCAATTTTTAATTCTAAGTCTATACTGTTTTTAAGAAATATGTACATTTAAATTTTTTAAATTTATTTTCTTTAAAAAGCTAAAAAGCATTTTTGAAAACCTAAACATTGATTCCTGCATAATAAAAACTTAAATATTTTTTAAAAATATTTATTATAAACCATGTCATTGCTGTGTCTTAATGTCTGGTTTTATCCCTATTCTTCTAGGTTTGAGATCTGAAAAAACTCTCACATGATGTCAATTTAACTCTAGACGTTGCTGTGCTGTGTGGAATATTTCTCATCTTGCTTCTTGTTATTTTATGAGCACAAATCTCAAGTAAACGGCCAGATAATATGTTATAAAATTTATTCAATAACCCAAATTTTGTATTTTACTTAACTGGTTCAGTAACTCCTGGTTTGGCATCCATTTTTATATAGTAAAAGCATTTGTGAAAAATCAAATCCATTTTTTATAATGAATGTGTACAAAGAAAATGCAAGTTATTCTTCCAATTAATTATAAGACATAAAGAGTTACAAAATAATATAATATAATACATTTTTTATTATCTAAATATACTTAAACTTGCATTTTCAATTTTTAATAAAATTTCTGTATTTCAACATAAGTGATTTTGATTTAAAAAATACTCTTAGGATAGTCCGTAAACATTTTTAAACTTGAAACAGTTATTTATAATGTACATAAATTAACAAATGCTTATAGGTAGCCAATGCTCTTTTTGATTTATAGATGAGAGGTTTTAATTTTATTTTATTGTTTGTTATTGGGATTTAGAACAATTGGCATTCACAAATGTTTTCAAATGTTTATCTTGAATGATTGACATGAATGAAATAATACATTAATTACATTAATAATCAATTTCTTTTGGTTGTTGTCATTTACTTTGTTCTCAATTGTTGTGGTATGTTAGATGTTGTAAAATTCTAAACTTTGTCAGTCTTATGGACAAATGAGACTTGGACTTTTTTTTATTCATTTTATTAACTGTTTTATTTGGTAATTTTAATTATTTCATTTTTTACATTAGGGGTTGTGTGCATTCATTCAATAACTTTTAACTCTGTACTGATTAATCAATCAAAATAGTATGTTTAAGACTAAATTAAGAAAGAAAATGAAATGGAAAGGAACATTTGTATGGTTAATTATTCACAAGCCTTTAAGCTACTTATATANTATATATATACTGAGCAGTAGTGCTCTTTGAATATTTTTTTAAGTTTAAAGTCACTGGTAATAAATTTTTATTGTGAGACATAATCCACTTGATAAAAATCTGTTCTTTGTGTCCTTGTGTATTAATTTATTCATGAAAAGTTTTCTAATATAGTAAGGAGTGTGAGACTCTCATTCCTGACTGCTAAGTCCAGCTGTGACAATGTACATCTTGTTTAAGGTCAGGATTAAGAAAATAAAACTCAATAAAAAATATTAACTCACTGTTGGAAAATTACTAATCATTACAGTTGAGTAACTAAAACGAGCTGTCACTTAACAAATGAGAAAAAATATCAAACCACTTTTTGTACAAGTGTTTTAATGAAGGGCACTAAGGTTTTAATACATTTTTACATAATTGTTAATATATAAGGAGAAAATCTTTAAAA